ATGATAAACAACAACCAGATACCAACAATACTATACCAACTAACTAGATACCAAGATTAGTTTTTTCTTTGCACACAAATTTACACATCACAATACAAGACAATACAATACACTACAATACAATATACAACAACCAGATACCAAGATGTGTTGTCTCCTCCCACTACATTTATACGTTTACATAGTACAGTATTATACAGTTTACAGGTATAATACAGTATTATACATTACATTACAATACAATAAGATATCAACCAATCATCAGATACCAAAAGTTGGTGTCTCTTCTTTCAAAATATACCTTTACACATTACAACACAATACAAATCAATACAAATTCAAACCAACCACCAGTAACCACAATTTTTGTCTTCTCACCGTACAAATAAATTTACTCATTTACACATTACAATACCAATAAATACAATACCAACTAACCACTGGCTACCAAGATTGGTTTTCTCGTCTCCCTGCATACACAATTACACATTACAATACAACAATCAATCATCAGATACCAAGAGTTTCTGTCTCTTCTCTCAACATAGACATTTAAAGATTACAAAACATTACAATACAATACAATACTAAACAATACAAATCCATCCAACCACCAGATACCACAATTTTGATCTCCTCTTCCTACAAATACATTTACACATGACAATACAAAACAATACAATACTAACCAACGACTAGATACCAAGACATTTGTCTCCTCCTGCTATACACAAATCAAGACAGTACAATATATTTCAAATCAAAAAATACCCTCCAAACACTAGATACCAAGTTTGGTTGTCTCCTCTTTCTTCAAACACAGTACACATTACATACAATACAATACAAAACCAACCAACAACCACATACCAAGATGTGTTACATCCTCCCACTACATTTACGTTTCCACAATACAATACATTACATAAGGATAAAATAAAATATCAACCAATCATCAGATACCATGATTTGTTGTCTCTTCTCTCAACATATACATTTAACTCGTCACAATACAATACTAAACAATATCCAACGAACCACCAGATACCAAAAGTTGTTGTTTCCTCTTGCTACACATAAAGTTACTAGATACAATACCAACGAACAACTAGATACCAATAATGGTTGTCTCTTCTCTCTACATACACATTTACACATTACAATACAAAACCATGAACTACAAACCAAAGGTGGATATCATGATCAGTGTTCTTTTCTCCCTACATATCCATTTACACCTTACAATACAATACCAGCCATCCATCGGATACCAAGATTCACTATTGGAATGTTGTCGTTCCGAAACAGTGTTGTACGACCCAAATCGCATAATGGGCGAGGGGCCTTACTCTACATATACATTTATACATTACAATACAATGCAATACAATATTTAAAAAAACAATACTAACTATTAACTAGATACCAAGATATTTTGTTTTCTCTCTCTACATATAAATTCAAACAATACAATAAATTTATACATTACAATTAGATACGAAAAACAATACAATACCAACCATAACCAACAACAAGATACTGTGATCTGCCACTACATTATAAATCTACACAATACTATAGAATACACTACACAATAATAAAATGCCAACTACTACAAGATGCCAAGATGTGTTGTATCATCCCACTATACAGGGTGGCTGAAAAGTAACTTGCCCCCTGGTCCCCCCCTTAACCTTTCAACAGTTTGGGCAACCTTCTTAGAAATGAGGGGCTACAATAATTATGGTTAATTATAAAAATTTTGCCCTAAGGGGTAGCAGGGGTAGGGTGTAGCTCAACATTTTCAAGTGGCAAGTATAGTTTGGTATCATTTTACAGTTCTTGGCAAAACTAAACAATTTAAATAAAGAAAACCAAAATCGGACCATTAATAACAAAATGGCGCCCTAAAACGTTTCAAATCCAAATAACCATGAGGGGTGGCTAAAAATTAACTTGCATCCCCCTTAACTTTTAAACCTTTTGAGATATTTGAAATCGGTTTGCTGCAACCTGTTATGAGGGGCTACAATAATTATGGTTAATTATGCAAATTTTGCTCTTAGGGGTAGCGGGGGTACCGGTAGCTCAAAATGTTCAAACGGCAAGTATAGTCGAGTTTGATGTCATTTTACAGGTATTGGCAAAACTAAACAATTGAAATAAAGAAAACCAAAATCGGACCAATAATAACAAAATGGGTCTCTAAAACGTTTCAAATCCAAATAACCATTAGGGATGGCTGAAAATTAACTTGCACCCCCCTTAACTTTTAAACCTTTTGAGATATTTGAAATTGGTTTGCGGGAACCTGTTTAGATATGAGGGGCTACAATAATGATGGTTAATTTTGAAAATTTTTGTCCTTAGGGGTAGTGGGGGTCCGGTAGCTCAAAATTGTCAAATAGGAATTATGTTAGAGTTTGGTATGATCTTACAGGTCTTGACAAAACTGAACAATAAACATAAAGAAAATACAAATCGGATAACTAATAATAAAATGGTTGCTAAAAATTATTAAGACAATGGTTATTAAAAGTAGTTTTTAACTGCCATTTTGTTATTAGTGGTCCGATTTCTATTTAATCCGTGATAATTGTTTAGTTTTGTCAAGATCAGTAAAATGATACAAAACTCAACCATACCTATTTGAAAATTTTGAGCTACACCCCACCCCAACTTTAATTTTTTCTTTTAATTCACCATCATTATTGTAGCCCCTCATATCTTAACAGGTTGCCACAAACCAATTTTGAATATCTCAAATAGTTAAAAAAGTTAAGGGGGGTGAAAGTTAATTTTCATGGTTATTTGGATTTGAAATGTTTTAGGGCGTCATTTTGTTATTATTGGTCCGATTTTGGTTTTCTTTATGTCAATTGTTTAGTTTAGTCAAGATCTGTAAAATAATACCAAACTCAACTATACTTGTCATTTGAAAACTTTGAGCTACCCCCTACCCCCGCTACCCCTAAGGGAAACATTTTCTAAACTATCCATAATTATTGTAACCCCTCATGTCTAAAAAGGTTGTCGCAAAGCGATTTCAAATATCTTAAAGGGTTTATAAATTAAGGGGGGTGCAAGTTACTTTTTAGCCATACCCTGTATATTCGTTTGCACAGTACAATACATTATATTACTATAAAATAAACCAATCCCCAAATACAATTAATTGTTTTCTGTCTTGCCTTTTCAACCTTTAAATTACTATCTTTTCAATTAGTCAGAAAGAATTGACTTATATTATTTGGAATTTTTTTTTATTTTATATTATAATGTACATATGTGTTGCAGCTAATTTCAACGTTTAAATCTCTTAATTTCTATAAAATATATTTGGAATCTTTCAGGACCATCATGAAAATTTTACTACGACTATTGGTTTTATTCAAAGAAATACAATAGGCATAACGTTGATTTTAAAAATATGCACAGTAACATGCCACTACCAGTTATTGTATTGCTAATGTAATCTTGCTATTTTTGGAACAATGAGTATATGTAACAAAATATTTAAATTATTTTAAAGAAAACAATTTGCTGGCCAAGTTGAAACATCCTGTGGCCCACAAAGTAAATTTATCATATGTCAGAATTCTTGCCCTAGTCTCCACCAGGCCTGTCTATCCGATTGTCAGCTTTTTCATTTTAGGATTGTTTTATAAGCTTTTGCTTTGTTCCTGATTTAACTAACAATCTTGTCAGCCACTCGGTTGATCTGACTAATTTATGATCCAACTATTTTGAGAGGTTTATAATTTATCCATTTTTTTTTAGATTAATTTATTTTGAAATATCAAAGTGAATCACTTCTGTTTATTTAGATCCATCCGATAAGAAGTGTTGTTCTTTGGTATTGTTTTAAAGAAAAATACATTTACTTGTATTACTAGACCTACTTTATGCAAGAATACAATTATATTTTCTTTTAGATATTTTGAGTAGGCCTATCTTGAGCATTGGTTGTGCTGTGCAGTGTGAAATTATGTTACAAGACCTGGTTTTAACTTTAAACCCTTAGTCTAGTTTACAACCTTAAGGAGACATACTGTTGGAAAAAACTACCTACTCGACAAACTTGATGTGTTCCCCTAAGTATGTTTAGAAATAAAAGGAACTGTTATACAGAGTGTATAAAAAGTCCCGGGTCGGTTAAATATCTTTTTGAAATATTTAAAATAGAGCTACAAAACTTTGCACAAAGTTACGAAACATAAAAATCTATTTTATCACATATTCAATGGTGCGCTACTTCCTCAGGGGGGCCCGCTAGAAGTCAGAAGAAAATCTTAAATGTAAGCATAGGTTGATTTGCATATCAAATAAAAGTCTTTATTAGTAGAATATAATTTGGCGCAAACCCGAACTCAAATGGACAACCGAGTCCAAAATGACAGCTATTCAAAGATGCATTGAATTTGCAGTGACCTGTTATCAACCTGTGCTTACATTTTTAAGATTTTCTTCTGACTCCTAGTGGGCTGCTCCCTGAGGATTGAGGAAGTATCACTGAAATGTGATCAAATAGATTTTTATGTCCAGTAACTTTGTGCAAAGTTTTGTAGTTCTATTTTAAACATAAAAAAATATATATATTTAACTGACCCGGGACTTTATGGACCCTGTGTATAATAAATTATGATGACTTTGATCCTGAAGAATATTTATATATACATATTTATTTGTGTACTTATGAATAAAGTTTTCAAGATATCAATATGTTGGATTAGAATCCTTATATCATTTATAAACAGTATATTGATAGGTCAATTTGAAATTGAAATTCATCACATTGAAAACTGAAACCTAATTAATTCAATTTTTGAAACAACATACAGCCAATTATTTAAGTTATTTTCAGTGTATAGGGGAGATAGGTAGAAGAGTGATTCATGACTTCAAAATTCTTTATACATGCAAAACATAGATTAAATAATTAAAATTGCTAAAGATTGTAGTAGGAAGGTCCTGAATTAATCCGTTATATTTTATTGCAGATGTTGGCGGTGCAGGCGGGAATGGAGAGGGACCTAGGAGCGCAGCGGGACCGACAGATCCGGCTGCACTCTGTACACACAGACCTAGAACTGGACCTGCCTCCTAGCATATCACTGCCAGATGGCGAGGAGATACCTTACGGCAGCTCGACTAGGCTGCATATACGCGACTCGGAACAGGTACGTCACATCCACTTGGGTCGTAGGCCTAAGCAAAACGAGTGGTGAGCGGGTAAAGTGCAAGAACCAATTGCACTGATCAAGTTCAATAATATGCAGGACGCCAACCCATAACATCGCTGTGGATTCCTAGTCCGCCGTGCTACTGACTCACCACAAATGAAAACTCACTCAATTAAAATGAAAAGTAAATCGTTATACTACACAAAAAGGAAACAGGTATGTCACAGAACTTCAACAATGGTAAATCAAGGATAAGGAATTAATTCTTTTAAACAAACAATTGATCTGTATTGGAGGCTGTTAATAACTATAAGATGAGTGCTACAATTGAGCTTTGATAGTGAAATAAGACATTCCATCTATATGAACCAGATGTTGCCAATTGTTTAGTAAATAAGCATTTAGTTGAATGAGCCACTCACAGACTTCCTTTACAGTCTAAAGTCCCATTTTTTACCTTGACTTGAAACATGAAAGACCCTATAGCTTCCAATAAGTCATCCTAACAGTTTGGCTTTCTTAAAAAGTTGGCAAAGTAAATTTATATCGGTAGACTACTAGAAATAGGTCTTACCATGCCACCTAAGGAAATAGCTTCCTCCCTTTAGTGAAATATGCTAAGGCTTACAAAACGCAGTGATTCCTCAAACTAAGAGTTGTAACATTGTTGCAATCGCAATGCAAAATTATTGACCAAAGTGCAGTGTTCAGAGGTGGTTGTGCTAAAGGAATGCATTTGATGGTATTTTAGACTGAGCACTGAGCAGAGCAAGGGCCAAGATCTGACCACGTGGGTTGCATTGTCAGATTACATCGTGTAGTTACTTTATAGTGACAACGCCGTCGGTTTGTGGCTACCAGATGCTCCTTGGCTGGCAGCATGTCCGTTTTATTCTTCTCTAATTCCAGAAGACAAAAATTATAACACTCCTCTCTCGAATGATCGGGTTGAAGAATTCTAATTGGCCTTGTTATAGTGGATTTATATCCCCGTTCCAAACTGCAGGTCTAAATATACTTAGAAGCAACAGTGTTGCGTTCGCTCTTTCAATTTGTCAACTTGCTATGTGTTATTCAAGATGAGTTTTACTGCCGCCATTTATTTCAATATGTCTACTCTGTTCATATTCTCAGTCTCGTAACAACTTTTTCACCTGGTATTTATGTTATTGGTTTCTATGAAACATTTCTGTTCCTTTGCTAATAAACATATATTGTATTTGATGTAGGGTTGGATACGTACAGCAGATCCGATATAATGAGAAACTATTACCACAGATTTAACACATATCTAGTATGAACTTTTATCAATCTTTGCGCTCGTAATATTCTAAAAAGACTACATAAATTGTTGAAGTTTTGCAGACTTAATATGTTAAGTTAGTATACATTTTAAAATTGAATGCATGATTATATATATTATAAAGGAACCTTCAGTGCTCGATTTGTAAAAAATCAGGTGCCGGAACTATAACCTATTTAATGTGATTAGTACCTTTTTATTCCAATATTTTTATCTTTCCGATAGAGAGGTATTGGAACTCCAATCTGCGATGAGTGGAGTGTCCAATCGAAATCTATTACCACTTACCATCTTTTTTGTATATTTACCGTCTTATTGTGAGTAACAGTATAAGCGTAAATATATGTTTTAAGTGTTATAAGACGTTTCTTTTATTTACTTTCCGTAAATTTAATAACACGTACAATGCTGATCAAGAAGTTATTTGATAATATTTATCGACTACTTTATGGATTAAACCTACCAAGGAAGATATCTATGACACAGGTAAAAAAACGTTTATGACATCCTATTATTTTAATTATATTAGTAGATATATAAAGGTATAGAGATTAGAGAGAAAAAGTGTAAGAGATTTATGACTTATATAAGTGTAAGAGATACGTACAATTTTCTAACTCAGCAAATTTTACCTCTCAGGTTGAAATGCAAAATAGCAAGAATATTCACAATGGCAGCCACACTTTATTTCACAGAGTTAAGCCAGTTTATTTGCAGTGCACTAAGTCATTATAACGACCTGAGAGTGCAACTTTATGTCATCCAATAATCCTCCATGATAAACGCTCAGTAATTACATTATTTTTATACCCTTGAGCACTCATGCAGCCTGGCCACAGATTTCAACTGTTTTAGTTGATATTTTTCCTAATTATTCAAATTTAATTTACTTAGCTGCAGACTCAGATTTATGATCACTGGTTTAAGTGAACAGTTTCTGTAGAGTTCCATTACTTTGATTATGGCATCATAATCTGGAGTTTATGGCATGATGTTCAAAACTAGGAAATGAAGAAGAATTAATGTCTTCCATTTTGGTTTATTGCCGAGTTTAATACTTTTGTTTGTACTTTTGTAATTGCTGGTTTAAATTTTCTATTTGAATATTAGTTTGAACATTTTGCATTTGTTTCTTTAAGATCTTATATTATTTCATTATTTTGATAATTTTGTGAAAATTCAAAAGACATTATAACTGTTATTATTATTTGTTTATTTGTTATATTTGAGTCTAAGGACTACAACATATCAAATCTCCTGTACAAAAGCCAATTGTTAAAACAATAAATCATCAATAATTTTTAAAAAATACAGTACAGTACATAAAGTTGAAATTTAAACTAAGATATGATATTTTCAAGTTCTGAGCTTTCTGTTGTGCTCAAAAAGTGTTTTATTTTCTGACATCATCCTTTCATTACACCAAACTTATTACACTGAATTAGGTTTTGTACCAGGTTAGCATACGAGGCATCTCACTTCATTCTGCACTCATCTTTTCAGATTAAAATTTCCCCAATACTGTCCTCATCTCAATTTGTATTTATAATCTAAATTACGAGTAGCCTACCAACTTCTATAAAATTGTTGGCATCCTTTAGCTTAGAAAAAATGAAAAATTCTTGCAAATCAATTTAATAGGGTTTTGTCATTAATAAATCAGCTACTGCCAGTCATGGAGTAGTCTCTCTATAACAATCGACAACAAGGAGAAACAATAAATGTTTTCAAAGAATTGATCTGGCAAACTTTGCAACTCTGTTGCGATGAAAAATGCTAATCAGCAACAATTTGCACAACTTTGCAGCCTCGGGACGTAGCATTTAGTTAGCAGTGGCGGCCAAATGATCAAATAATAAATTGAGAATAAACCAGGGTCAAAGCACACTTTGCACGGATGCCAAATGTTTATGTGAAGTGACAATGGCCTCAGCCACCTTTGTGAGAGTTTGTCAGGAATAAGATATGCACAAAGTAAAGTGTAGTTCGAACTGATCACCTCAGCCCAGTCTTGTTCTGACCTAAGGAAGCATCTGAAAATACTTGTTATGTATTGTGAGGGAGACTGGTGGTTGGATATTTCTATATTGAGACAAGTATAAGGATACCATTTCAACCTGTAGCTTATCCAGAGGGAGAGTCTTTATCAGTTAGGTTATGTTATTTAAGTTCTCTATGCCTGGACACCAAATGTATTTTCCTTTGTATTTCATTTTTAAGGTATTGCATTTTAAATGAATAGTAAGCAAAATTATGACCACTTAAAATAAAAAACCATAATCAATTTCAAAAAATGTTATTAAAACCTGTATATTTAACAGTTTTTTATTTTTTATTTGAGTTTAGAACGCCTTTACAAGCGTAATTTACATCAATGTTATGTCACACCTAAAATTGCAGTCAAAACAAACCCCATCACGTACTTGTTATGAATTAACCAGCTATATCGCTTTCCTGAAAAGTCATTTTAGAAGTTAATAGATACATTACAACATTTTACTTAAATCATTATACTAGGCTAAGTTTAGAATATTTAAATGAAATTATACATTATCTTGTAATGGAGTAAGTTAATCTAGTATAACACCTTAACAAAAGGGGTGATCCCAGCTAGATTACGTGGGAAAAGGTCCGGGTAAGCTATAGTGCACATTGAAGACACAAAAAGAGACGCAAAACACAATATTTCATCGTGTTGACACCCCAATTGGCTTTTGTACCTAAATATCCTTGTCTACACTTGAATAAATTAACTAAACAACATTGTGTGATTGCAGGAGAGCGAAATCTACCAGAAATGTATCCGAGCGCCTCCGAACCGGACGGTGTTTGACGGTGAGAGTCCGCCACCTTATCGGTCGAGTTCCGCGGGGCTTTTGTCTCTAGGCTCCTCCTCCTCCCACACATCTAGCGAGTGGAGTCACGGTGTCGTCAGATGCCACTCCATGTCTAGTAGGTGAGAAAGGCCTATACAAACAGTTGGCTTGATAATAATGCAATCTCTCCAGTCTCCATTATCCAGATGCCTAGGAGAAACTTATTTTTGTAATTGAAGATGAAGATATAGAATATCTCTTTTTTATCTCTTTCTGCAAACAATTAATTGTGTTCACAAAGAAAGATACAAATGCAGCAGGAACTCATTTTATGGACACAGTCAAAGCTGATTTTGTAATGTGGGCTTGTTGGCTATAATTATTTATGCTATGCAAGCCTACACTACTCTTTTTTCTTGCTACACTGTTGGAATATTTTTAGAGAATATGAAAGAGAATAATGCTCAACGCTTTTTTGGAAAGTGTTCCAAACCCATATGGAGGGGTGTATCGGGAATTGAACTTGTAACTATTTTGAGTATTGTTATAATAATACTAATTCGAGAGAAGTAAAACCGGGTCGCCGGAAGACTGCCCCCCGGAAAACTACCCCCCCAAACAGGTCCCTACGTCATATTGACGTCAGAGACCGGGGGGGGGTAGTTTTCCAGTCACGGACACTCAAATTTAGTTGTCAGACAGTTCTAATCTAACCTAACCTAACCAACCAAACTTGCTGTAACATTTCGAAATTCTGTTTTATATTCACCACATGACTTTTCTATTATCCAATGGAATTACTCGAATTAAAATTAAAATTAAATAGCATGATTTGTCTAGGGGGGGTAGTATTCCAGTCGCGGACACGGCTTCCATATTGGTTAGTTGGCAGATTTTGTGACGTCACGTTTCACCTGGGGGGTAGTTTTCCGGGGGATAGTATTCCGCATCCCCGTAAAACCTTGCCCCAGTGTAGAAGAGATACTCGCCTTTGGCTCGCTGGTGGCTCTGCCCCCAGGCCCCCTCTTTATCTTATTCGTAATTTAAAAAAATGCCACTGGGGACAGGATTATGTCAGGGAATTTGTTCTGCAACAAATACAAATCATAACTTGGCAGTAGCAAAGTATTTCATAGACAACAAACAAGTCTTGACATGTTGCATTCTCCATGTGGGTTTGTGCTCTAATGATTGAAGTTACTGTAGCTAAGGCACATTTACCGTAAAACTAACTTTAGTTTAATTAGTAGAGCAATAAAGTTACAATCTTCTTTAAAGAAAGGGGGAGTTACCGTAACAATATTTTAGTTAGTCTTAGGTCCCTTTCCGTGATTTGGGGGGGGGGGGATAATCATCACCGGTATGAAGAATACTTTGGGGGCCGACCTCTGTGTTGTGCACAATACATGATTAAATCAAAATAAACTTATTAGAAACGTTATTATTATTGCCACCTGTCCCATTTCCCCACGATGGGAGGGGGGGGGGAGTTATCAGAAGGGTGCACAAATTTTATTAAGTTATCTCTTTACTCTAAATGTTCACGGATTTATTGATTGAAAACCATACAATCGACAATCCACTGTTCAACTGTTTTAATCAATACGGTACTATTGCATTGTAGCCTAGATTTTGCTATTTCTGACAGTTAATAACTGACCACATGACAAGTTCCTTTTGACAATTCATTTTACTTCAAGTTGCAACCGTAGCAACATTACATTGTGGTCAAAGGGTTAAACACATTGTCCATATTTCTCCATCACTTATTGTCAAGTGACTGGAGTTGCATTACAACATTGTATATGACCTTGGGTCACAGATGCCAGCAGTTGTTTTGATGCTTTTACCCTCTGGTCCATTATTATTGCTTTGAGTCAAATCTGTTTTGGAGTGCAATTTAATCATTGTTTGTTCTATGTAACTTTGTCACATACAGTTTACAGTATTATTACTATTGTTTTTAGCTAATTTCCCATATAGGGGATAAGCTCTTGCTAAGACGATGTAAACACTACTAATGTGGGGTGGACCACTGACCAGGGGTTTTTTACCCCTTTTGGTAATACCTAGACCAGGACCTCTTTGCTTTATCGTTCTGATGTTGCCAGAGGCCAAAAACATCATCCGTCCAAATTTATGTATATATCATTATGTAAGTTATTTATGTCGACTACCACGAAAACTTGTAAACCTACATTTATTTAACGAGTTTACTATCAGCATGATCGGACTATGAGAACGGGGTTTTATGGAATGAAAATGGGGTTTCCCCATTTTTGACACTCAAAATATAAAATGTTGCAGTTTCTTTCCAAACCATCTTGTAGAGCTATAAAAAGCATATACAGTAACCCACTTATCCAACCTTGGCAAGTCCAACTCCTCATTTAATCTGACTGTAACAATGTTATCGCAGTAATATTGTGACTATTTACAATGGCCATATGGAGATCATCACAGGCAAATGGAAATTTGCTTGATCAGCTGGTTTGCTGTGACGGGGGTATTTTTAACATTCAGTTGACTTTCTCATGACCACATGAGTTTTTAGAACTAAACTGATTCATTTCTGTTTCTAAAACCATTTTACGCTCAGTGGTAACAATTTTAAAAGTATGCGCTACATCCACCATTAGAAAATCACTGCTATCATTCGTGGGATGTTGACCCATGAATCAAAACCATTGTTTCACACTTCCAGTTTTTTATTTCTATATGCCAGTGGAATTTTAACTGAAGTCAACGTGAGATTAAATGTTGTTATGGGAAAGTGGTCCAAACCCATTAAAGTTTTGTGGATGTGCCGGGAATCAAATTCATCCCTCCGTTAATTTCTATTGTTGACAACTCCAAAGGGATGTCAAAGTCCGAGACACTAACCACTAGACAGAGAAGTAAGATACAGAGGATCCGTTCAATGGTAGTCCTACACACTTAAGTTGTGTCTATAGCAAATACTATTTGTTATCGCCTTCCGCTCTCCTTTCCCCCTTGCCATCACGTACTACAGCGCTTACGCTGCAGGAAGGACCTGTGCGCTACAAAATGCTGTTGTTGTTGCTGTACAAAATGCTATATGGCCATCGCCGTTCAGGCTCTTCCTAGCTCGGTACGAGTACATTTCCGCCCCAACATACCAAGAGCTATAGGCACACTGTTGGTATCTTGCTTCTCTGCTCTAGGTTAGCAATATGAATACACCCAATAACTTAGTACAAAAAAGCATTGTAGTACAAAAGTACATGTGGAAAATTTCTATTTACTAAATATTTAATGCACCTAATAATTAATTTTATGTGAGACTTCCTTAAAAGAAATTATTATACAATTATACAAATTAATATACAAAAATTTTAAATCCATTGCGAACAGTTTTGTACCCACAGGTTAGAATGTTGACCTGTGTTTTGTGTTTTCAGGTACCCTCCACCACCACACTTACCGGCTGTGATAGTTCCCACACGACAGAGGTTATCCAACAGTTCCGTCGCGGACCCACCACATCCCCCCGCCCCCAAGCCTCCACCTCGCCCCTCGCCATCGCCTCTCTAGGCCACCTCGCCTTCTCTCTATCATCCGCTGGCGAACGATCCATTCCATCTTTGTAATTCTTGGCTAGCCTTTTGGATGTTGTGTTTAGTTTCGTAGCAGATTTATTTTTTCGGGCAGTCTACTTTGTGCACAGAATTCTTAAGAGTAATTTTTTGTTAAATTGAAATCTAAAAACTAGAAAAACTTTATCGAATTGTAGGTATAATTTTTCACCAGATTTGCTGAATCTTGTCAGAGCGACGTAAAAACACTGGCAACGGAAATGTTTATGAATAGTTTGCAAATGCTGTTTTTAGCTCAATTGTTACGACTCAGAGTTGATAGATTAATTAGGATAATGTACAACTGGTATGAAACTCACTCCTGATGTTTGTAGCTGCAACGTTAGGTCTCAGGTCAAATCTTGTTTCTGAGTGAAATTAAATTGTATAACCTGTATTGCAGAGGATATACACCTCTGCTTAAATCTATATTATCAGTATTATACATTTTAGTTTTTATTTTATTCCTATTTGTGGAGGATTTACTCCTGCCTATACAGTAGACAATATTTTTAACCCTGAAAATATTTGGCCATAACAGCTCTGTACCACACGCTACTATCTTCTGTACTTTTTATTCTACTTACAATACATTTCTAGCAATCAAATCTAGCTGATCCTACTAAAAAAATTAATTATTGATTGGAGTTAACAGACAGAAATAATGTTAACCCAGTTCAGACAAGGTAACTAAGATAGAATAGTAACCTAATTTTGCGTCTTTACAAACATCAATGGAGATTTGAACTGTCCATTCCACTGCAAAATGTCTCCATTTGAATGAATGTGCCTACATAATAATGTGTATAGTGGTTTTCAAATGAAAATGTTGAGGTTAGAAATTGATAATGAACAAACCGAGGATGTTGTTTAAGTTGTTACCACTGAAGGTGTTCAACGATACCAAATCCATTCTATTGGATTTACTATATTATCTGTACTTTTTTCAGTATTATAATTGTAATTGATTATTTTATTGATTTAGTTACTTGAAACAGTTGTTGTCCTTTATATTTACCAGTAACTGTTGTGCTAGTTTTATATTTTATTGTATTATTGTATAGCGTATAATGAATGGATACATTCAAATTGGTATAACATTCAACACTTTCTTAATTTAGTCCTGAAATATTTGTCTGTATGACTAAACCACTGTTACCTGACCAATGTCAAATTGTACTTTTACTTTTACAATCAAAATCATAAATATATCAAACACTCATTGGAGTGAAAGACATAGGCTTCTAATAGGTTCTCCACTTCCATTCTTCTTGTTTCCATTGTCAAATTCATGGTTGAAGAGCTACTTCTCTAAAAGATGTAAAGTAAAAGTAAGTAACAGACATAGAAAGTCAATATCCTAACAGATTATTCTGACAAAATATCTATATTTTAAAACAAATATATACTTGGCTGATTCACTAGTCTTCTTCTTGTGTGATTCATTCTATGAATGTTATCATTTATGTTTATTCGTAGTTTATTCATTTATTATAAACTGTATATTGTAGTCAAAATCTCTTTTAATATTTGTTATGTCACTATAAAAGGGAAGAATTGTTATACAGATTTATATACAAATAGAATCAATCCTAATATGCATAATACTACACATAAACTTAATGTAGATTTATTGATAATACTGTTAGAAGCTAATTTCAATGTTTAAGTAGGAACATTTTGCAGTGGACAATGCCTTAGCCTATTTTACACTTAGTTCAATTGTTAAAGTTAGGCTGATCATTTGTCCATAGAAGTGTGTCTGTGATAGGCTATATGATGATAATCAAGGGTTGCCGTCTGTTATTTATTTTTATTTCATTAATTAATTGTGGAATTTTTATTTGTTTATATTTCTACTTTGTACAATGTTGATTGTTTGGTGTATTTAAGTATTATTCAGTTAATTGGAATTTGTGGAACGGCATTCAGTTTAAAACGTTTTACAGTGTGATACAATGGTTGATAAAGATCCAAGGTTTTTACTCAGGAATAAATTTAAGAAAATGTATGATCCTAATCCTAAAAAATACAGCTTTGATTAGGTTTTTACATTTAGACTTTTAAACTATATATCTTAAAGCACGGTACGCACTGAGTCGACTACGGCTCGGCCTTACGTACCTGGCTCCAGCGGTTTACCCGTGCACTGCACTGGCCTTCTCCATTTGACACCAGGCGGAAAAACGTCACAACCTCGAGTTCACCATTCTAGTGTTGCTGTCAGTGCACACAAAACATTTGTATACAAAATTGCATATCTCCAAAAGTAACAAAAACTTACATGGAGTAAGGTTGTTACACGAACGTCCAATTTAGATGGTAAACAATTGAAAAATTTTACAATTTAAACATTCTACAACTGGTGGAGTTTTTTAGTGATATAAGATTCATTAAGACCACCACATTCCAAGTTTCATAAACAGGATTATCAAAATCGTCAATTCATTTTCAGTTTGCCGATTCGGCGGAAGGCCTAAGTCGCTCCTAGGACCAGCCGACGCCGAAACCGAATTGCTCTGTATAGGGCAAGCTGGACCGGTGTAGTGCGCGGCGTCTCACAAGCTGGACCGGTGTAGTGCGCGGCGTCTCATTTGATTACGTGTATCTTAACATTTTAAAAAGGCCGTAGTCGACTCAGTTCGTGCTGTGCTTTATAGTCTGTATTTTTATCATTTGTTTATTTAATTGACCAAAAAAATGCATTCAAGCGTCAACATTGTGTTAAGACAAGTGACTTAATTTCTGTGTTCAAAATAGCTGGTTCTATTTTGTTAAACCAAAGACAAACTGACCTCAATCTGGACTAAATTGTGATTCCAATCAATTTGTTCGTTGCTGTCTGAGCTTTCAGTTCTTCCAATAGCTTATTACATAAATATTTAGCACTTTGCAAAGTATGATTTATTTTACAAGTATCGATATGTAGCCTCAATAACCTTGTATATTTACTATTGAGTTAATTTTTTATTAGTTTCGGACGGCAACGAGGCTGCATACCGGTAATTCTTTACACTGCACTTCTGCTTCCTCCCTCACCGTGCAATATCTTCAACATTGGTTTAACAATATTTTCACCATAGGCTCGAGAATAGGATTTATATCAATATTATATATAAATATATTATTTATTCCAGCATAGTAGTTCAGGATACAGCTCTGGATAGGTGGGTAGTGGATGTGTCAGAGAATTATTCTCTTAGGAAATAGATGTTTCCTTTAACAAGCAACTATTCTAGTAAAGTAGTAACTGAAATCACACATTTACGGGTATACATATTTGTAGCTCATCTTCTATCCTGGTTTGAAAAGGAGACTCGCCTTCTTTCCCATGCTATTTTATTTTCAATCAAAAGTTTTCTTTTGTTATTTTGACTTTTTAACTGTGCATCATAAGTCCTAGTATATGTTCTAAAAACATTTTGTCTTGAATTGGTTCTCTACTTTAAAATTAACCTCGTATATTAAAACAACTTTTCATTGGCACACAACCATTGCCCATTATTCAGAGTCTTTCAGTATAATATCCATAATTATATATATGCAGTGTTTAATATAGAATTTATTCAGTTGTTATTATCTGTATTGTTTAAGGGAAGGACGCACCGCCCAACGCCAGCGGCCTAGTATCGTTTATTAGTTTAGAATCAATCTTTTAGCTCCAACACTTGGTTTTCCTAGCTTTCTAAAAGTGCCTTTTATGGAAGAGTCGCGGGCGCGGGCGGTGGGGACAAGATGGACATCACAGTGGCTGGACTGACTTATGGACCGCTCTCGTTATTTATTTTAGAAGATTGTGTTGTGGAGAACTCTCAGAACTGTGTGAGTGATGAGTCTCGGCCTGAGAGATGCGGACGGTCGTGTGCCACGCCGGACTACGGATCACGACAATCATTACTTCTTAGCCACCCAACTATCGTTGTTTGTATTACTTTTGTTTAAAACCAAACGATTCTCCAACTCTGTGTTACAGTCATAAATTTATTGTAGCCGGGTTGAGTGACAAATGTGTCTGTATTACCTTTTGTTTTTCTCACATTTATGAAATTACTTTTAATTGAAAATTAACACGCATATTTTAGCTCAAAGCCTATAAAAAGACACCAAAGTAAACATTCCTAGCGGTCCGAGGATTTCAAATTTGCCTTCGACTAAGTACAAATGTAAGCGTACGACCGTCCGCTCTCAGTTGCCGCAAGTGGGACACTTTGTGATAATATTTGTGGTTCCCGACATCGAGGTCCGGCCCCAGCGACTACGGAAGTGGCCGGACTTCGAGGTGATATCGCTTGTACGGTAATTCGATGTATATTATATTTAATTTATGTAAAATAAATAAAATGGGTGATACGGATGGCGCACGCTCTAGACACAATTTATTATTTTGTTTATGGTTTAATGAGATGAAACCGTTTTTTATAACTGTATAAAGTGTATGATAGAACGGAAGAGGTTATTCCTTAATGTAAAATACGACATGTTTCCATTGTGATTTTATCTTTTTTGTCTAGAACATGCAGTAAAATTTTATGGTAGTATTTATTTATGTGACTGAGACTCACAGTCGACTGAATTTCAGTTATCTACTGCATGTACTGTGTTGTTATTTTTTATTTATTTAAATTAATGTGAAAAAGTTTAAGCGTACTACTAACGAAAATGTCAGTTCCGACTGAAAAAAACAAATTGCGGTCAATGTTATCACCAATTTAGTCATTTAAAGAAATTAAACGGAAATTAAAATAAGACTGTTTTAATTCACCCCCCCCCCCACCCCTTCCTCATACTTGATTGATCTACAAAGCTTTTTGGTAAACCTTTGGTCACCATTGAGAACTGAACTGACCACTGATCCAATACAATGAAGTACCAAGGCTGGGGTAGCTGACTGGTTATAGCGCTCACTTAAGGCCCAATTCACACCGAACGGACGTCGGGCGGAGACGTGGCACGGACGAGGCACAGACGTGGCAATGACGTGGCGTGTTCAATGCACACCGAAGGGACGGTGAAGGGACTGTACAGTGGCGAGACAACCTGTATGTAGACTAGAAGCTTTGGTTTTTGCTTATTTCTATTAATGTCAATGGTGTTAGTTAATTTCTGTCAACTTAATTAGTACAAACAAGGGAATTGTTCTACTTTCTCACAAAATTTTATACTAAATTCAATGTCATCTCGCATAGTAAAGAAACAACTCACAATCTACACACAAAAACAACTCTACACAACAAGGTTGGTAAGTACAAGCACACTATACACAAGAAGTTTGGTAAGTATAGTACAATATTTGCAGTCCGAACAACGGGCGCGCTACGGACATGCCACTTCCGATACGCCACGAGGGACGCCGAAGCGACGTGGCGGTGGCGAGAGGGCGGCCGCCCGCGCCACGTCACTTGTGTGTGCATTGACCAATTTGTTTACATGGGGAGGCGAGGAACGGACATATGTCCTCGCCACGTCCGTGCCACGTCTCCGCCCGACGTCCGTTCGGTGTGAATTGGGCCTAATAATTTAAAGGCGATTGCCTTCCTGAGACAAGTCAGTATTTTTTTAAGGTTCGAAACTGGTCCCAGCTGTCTCTGACCATTGGGCTTTAAATAAATGATCCTGGCTAAACAAACAGCTTAGATGAACAAAAATGCATAGATAATCTCACTCCATTCCACACTTAGCACCTTATTATAAGTATGGAAGAGAGTTTGTTGGGTTTTACTGGTGTTCAAAAGGAGGCCATTAGATTCAAACCAGTTTTTGCCATCTGCCGTCACATCAGGGTCGCCAGAATGTTATCCCCTTCGAATTTTACCCTCTGAGCAGAGCAGACGTCACTATGACGTATTCATCTGAGCGCTCTAAAGTTTGTTCTCGGGCAGAATTTTACCCCCGTGGATTTGGGAGTTTAATGAAAATAGACAGAGCGTGATAAATTAGATTAGCAAAAGAAACCTGAATTTTACCCCCTGTCCATATAACTAGCGTTTATACAACTGTAGATGTACAACTATTATACAACAGTAGGTGGTTTTTACCCCCGGAATTTTATACCCCCTGTGCAGGTATATAAATTAGCGAAATCATTTAATTTTCTGATTTTATTTTTGATTGAATAGTAAACATTTTTAAGTAGCCTATCTTAATTTATTTGTAATCTCAACTATAAGTAAACAGGGTTTGCTGTTTAATTTTGATATTCAAATTTCAGGATTTGACTTTTGGGGACAACTATTAGTTAATATTTATGCAAACAAACTGAGTAGCCCATTTGAATGATAATTGGGTGAACATTTCTTAAACAATTAATTACCGGTATACATGTAAAAACAATTCATTTTGAAGAAAATGAATTATTCTCACTAATTTCTATATCTGGCAAAGGGGTAAAATTCCGGGGGTAAAAATCCGGGCTGTACATTTTGAGCTAACCTCATGAAAGGGTAAAAGTCCTGGGGTAAAATTGCGGCCCGTACACTATAGGTTTTATAATTTGATTATCGTTCTGATTTAATTCACAAGCGTATATATGTTTGATTCCATCTTTGATTTATTTTATTTTTATTCTTTGATTATATTTGATTTATTGGCAGGTATTCCAAAATGAGTGCTTTTTTACATAAAACAAATTTTGGAATACCCACCATTTAGGCTAAGGATGAAATATCTACCTCGGGCTTGCGTCATTGTACTTCTTTTGACAAACCCTTCAAAATGAGGGGTCACTCAAAAGGGTTTGTCATCAAAAAAATAAATCACCCCCACCTCCTACCCTGTTAAAGGGGTTTAAAAATATTGTTGATGTAAAAAATTGCGGAACCTATGTTAACAATCAATTCCACAAACAGAATGTTTCTATCTATTTCGATTTTTAAAATACAGATTTGTTTCCATATTTGTGAAATTGGTGCTTTATCACATACAGTGATTCAAGTTTTGGAATACCTGCCATTTTGGCTAGGGGTGAGATATCCACCTCGGGTTTGCGTCATTGTGTTTTTTTTTACAAGCCCTTTAAAATGAGGGGTCACTCAATAGGGGTTGTTGTTTAAAAAAAAATAAGTCACCCCTACCCCCTACCCTGTTAGTAGTTTTAAATTATTTTACACCATTGTGGCTCGCAGTGTTAAAATTTGTAGGAATCGCTCTAATACAGCAAAATATAGTGTATCACGTTTTTCCAAAAAATCTAAGTTTGAGAAATGTGTGGGTATAGAAGCATAATAGAGATCAGATGTTTTCGATCCCAAAAATGTTAGTTTGCAGGGAACACTTTTTGGAAAGTGATTATTATTTATAACGATTCAATATAAAAAAGATTTAAAAAAAAGCTTGAACGAACTTTAGATTTAAGTTTAGTATTTTGTAGTTCTAAAAGTTCTAAACAGATTGGCTTAACCCCCATTGCTTTCAAAATTACGGAACAAGAGTTATTGCAACTTTTGTAATTTTACTCATAAAATACCATAGGTTCTCCCACCACTTGCCCATGATAAGGGTTAATGGCATTGGCAAGCTAATGTCAGAAAGAATGTGTCTAAGGAGATATTTTAAACATTTTACAGGGTGGGATTTTGAAGTTTTCCCGGGACCGCGTCTCGTCGTCCCGCCGTCTAGTTGTACCTACGTCTACTTGTACCTCGAGGCCTAGGGACAACTAGTCGTAGGTACAACTAGACGTAGGTACAAGTAGACGGTGGTACACCCGACTAGTTGTACCTGCAGATTTTTAGGAGGTACAACTAGACGTGTATCCCACCGACAAGTAGTATCACCTAGCTTGTACGGATGCGACCAGTTGTCCCTACGACTAGTGGTCCCTACGTCTAGTTGTACCTGCGCGTATTTTGCGTCCTTAAAGTCTAGTTGTATCTATCCTTCAATTTATTACCCTGTTTAATTGATTACTGCACGAGTACTTTTTAATAATACCCTTAATTAAATCAGAAACTGCAGTGTTCTGAGTCAATTGAGTATGATTGGCAAATATTTTTCACCGCACTACGATGTTTTAGTAGTTTTACAGACGTTAATTGGAGGCTGAAAGCTACGCATTGCTGTCCAGGGTCGAAATGGCAGCAGTGGCGTAGCCAGGATTCTGCTTTGGGGGGGGCCCGATCCGGGGGGTCTGGGGGGCATGGAATACCAAAATTTTTTCCTTCGGCCCTGGGGTCCTCCCCCGGGAAAAATTTTGGTATTTTATGGTGATAAATTGCAGTTTACAACACCTCTGGAGGCTCTAAAGTAGAGAATAATATTGGTGTATTACTACTAAAAATTAGTTTTTTACTGTTCTGAAATCTAAACAAGTTGCCTAAACTACTATTAATCTGCGTGACGTAATTTTAATAAAATAAATCAAGCTAATAAAACTGCACTCAACTTATAGAATAAAGCATACTAATGGTCGTCCAGTGATCGAAAACTCGACCAAAAATATGTAATGTACACGCAATGACTATTGGATACTGAAGTAGACACTATATGTACCAGTTGCCGTCATTTTTTTAATTATAAAACATTGAAGACCCTATATAATCGGCACTGTACCACTCCGGCACTCCAGTAATCCGGCGTCTTTTGGCGGGAGGTCTTCCGCGGTCGCGGCAAAATTCTGGTTATCTCCCGCGGCCGTGTAGATATCATCATTCTCTCCCGCGGTCATGAAAACGTCATCGTCGTCTTGCGCGATCGCGGCAATATCATGAACATCTCCCGCGGACGTATAGACGTTATCATCGCCTCCCACGGTTACGGAAACGCCATCGTCGTCTTGTGTGATCGCGGAAAAATCATGAACATCTCCCGCGGTCATGTAGACATTATCGTGGTCTTTCACGGTCGCGGCGAAGATTTTATCATTTCCCGCGGCCATGTAAACATCATTGTCTACTCCCGCAGTCACAGAAACGTCATCGTCGACTTGCGCGATCGCGGAAAAATCATAAACATCTCCCACGGTCACGGAAACGTCATCGTCGTCATGCGCGATCGCGTCAAAATCACGAACATCTCCCGCGGCCGTACACGTTATCATCGTTTCCCTCGATTACGGAAACGTCATCGTCGTCATGCCCGATCGCGGCAATAGCGGTTTCCGATCGCGCAATCTTCGGAGACGTGTTTTAATTGCACTTTATGTGTTTTTATTGATAACATTCCAGTAATCCGGCATTTTATATAATAACAACACGTATTGTGTAGTGTGTACGCACTCATTTGAGTGTTTCTAGAACGCGCATTGCAACGCTCCCGTGTGCCGTGTGTACAGGTACAGGGTAACTAAAAAAAAATTTCGGGGGGGGCCCGGCCCCCTTGGGCGGGTCCCTGGATACGCCACTGAATGGCAGCCATAGTTGTAATTAAAATTTTCCAGCCCTAGTACTGAAAATCGCTTATTTAATTAAAACATTTATATATATTATTAAATATACAAGCAGTATATCCTTAATGAATTGCAATAGACCGCTGCCTAGCAATTATGTATTACTATTTTTGCTGATTCCTTTTTTTCACATAACCTTAAAGTATTTGTATTGATTATAGTGCATTTCTTATAGTTTACAATGGATTTCCCAGTGAACAATGAACAATGAAGTTGAGGTCCAGTGGTTGAAAACTCGACCAAAAATATGCAATGTACAGACTTCTCTATTTAACATACACAGTAAATAATACATGTGATTGGAATTTTTTCCATTTCAAACAAACTAGAGAAGCTAGTTAAACTATATAAACTAAATTTGATACTGAGCTAGGTATGTGTACACTGGCTATGTAGTCTGCAACTAAACTAAGATTAGTTTTACTAAGAACTAAGCGTGCAAAAAAAGTCATATCTCCCTGGGTTAATTTTTCAATGGTATTTCAATAGTGAGCTTTCATTACGTTTGCACAGAAGGTAATTAAGATGTGTTTTTGAGGAAATTCAGTAGTTAAGTGTGAAATAAACTTATTTTTCAAAGTATATGCATCAACAACCACACTACGCCAGTTTACGTAATATCCATAAGAATAACATATAAATTTTTAATTTGAACTTGTTGTAATATTCTCCGTGACTAATACCATACAAAAACACTTCATTATACTCAATTACTTGTTTTTGTAAACTCTGAATTTATTCCTGGCTTTTGTAGCAAGTTGTTTATAAAAATTTTTTGTAAGATTGTATGATTTTTAAAGAAATGAAATAAATCCCTTAAACTGGTGACAAGTTGAAGGGGAGATACAACTAGCGGTAGGTACAACTAGACGTAGGTACAAGTAGGCGTAGGTACAACTAGTCGTAGGTACAAGTAGTCGTAGGTACAACTAGACGTAGGTACAAGTAGGCGTAGGTACAACTAGTCGTAGGTACAAGTAGTCGTAGGTACAACTAACGCAGACATTTAAACATTTTACAGGGTGGGATTTTGAAGTTTACCCGGGACTGCGTCTCGTTGTCCCGCCGTCTAGTTGTACCTACGTCTACTTGTACCTCGAGGCCTAGGTACAACTAGACGTAGGTACAAGTAGACGGTGGTGTACCCGACTAGTTGTACCTGCAGATTTTTAAGAGGTACAATTAGACGTCCGCACCATCGTCAAGTTGTACCTACAGCTTTGGACGAGGTACAACTAGACGCCTGTCACCAAAATGCAGCAGGTACAACTAGACGCCGGTACATGTAGACATCGACCCGTTTTACCCTGACTAATTTTCTCTTGTTAGGTTTAAGATATTGTTTCACCTTATACGAAGATGACAGACACAGGAGTTACAAAGGAAGGGGGATCCCTGATAAAACATTTTTGGAAAATCTCTGCTGTCAATTTAAATTCGCCAACATTAAAATCTTAAAAATTAAATTCATTAAAACTTGTAGATAAGCAAGAAGTAAGTATTTAACAGGAAATCATTACATATAATAAATTAATGAAATACTTTATTCATTTACAATTTGTGACAATATAAATACTATTCAAAATAAAAACTAATATAAATTAAAAGGGAATAAATATATTTTGGATTTAATTTGGTAGAGGCTACCTAATCAAGGCAATCTGGTGTGGTGATTTTTGGTTTGAGAGTATCTTTGAGGTAATTAAGTTTAAAAGTAACCAAGAATTTACACTAAAAGTGATGCGAAGGAAGTCCCCCAAAAGTACTAAATAGCAAGTGCTTAACTTTGAAAAAAGTTAAATGAACACCATACGTAGTCATGAAACACACAAGTTTTTAGGTCTTATAATTTCTTTAGGTTTAATGCTTTTTGATCATACTAAATCATATCTGAAATTCCTAGTGCTTAAATTGGTCTAGAATAATTATCAGCTCCATAACTTTTTATGTTCTTTGTTTTCGATTTACATTTGTTTAAGAAAATACAATAGCTAGTGTAAACAACCGATTCAGTAATTAAATTACCTAGCTTAAAAGGAAACGCACCTTAATATATATTTGCTATAAACAAACACTAACCTACCATATTACTAAAAATCAAAAATATTACTAGAGAATTAAATAGTTACCCCTAAGTAGATACTTATAAGGATATTTACATGTCAAACTGGAGACAATGACCAAAATTGGTACACAGATATTATTAATATCAGTTTTAATTAAAACTGTATCGATGAAATGAAACTCCAGACAAAAAAGTTTTTGCCTTAATGCTTCTAGACAGACTTAAAAAGGCCACACAGGCTTTTCTTAATGATATACTTCAGTACCGACTTAGTGAACTTGGATGATTTCTTGAGTATGTTAGTGGTTTTACAAGGTAAAGAGAACAGAAGAACAATTTAAAGTGTGGGTATTGGGTGTCTGCAATATAAGTACATACACTAACATGGAAGTCAGTTCCGTATAGAAGTTGTTTTGTTCCTGAGGTAAGTTCATATTTGGAGATAAAGAATAATTTATGTTAATGATTTATTATGATTGTGGAATAGTGTTTTTAAGAGCGAGGAATGTCTGCAGTAATCTCTTCAATAACAGAAAAAAAGTATAGGGGAATTGTTTTATTAATTGAATTGTTTTTACCTTAAAAGGGGAAAAGGTAATAGGAAAAGTTGTGAGTGAAACAGCCTTACCTTTTTAGTCTATCTAGATTTATGTATCATCTACCACCTTATTGAACAATGCTTTGAAATTAACCACATTTATTAATCCAGCAAAAAATTTCAATCTCTAATTTTAAGAATACATAGGGCTTCGAGGAATTGTTTACTATGACCACAAATTGGAATAGGATCCTTCATATTTAGGCCTTTCTGTCCACAGTAAAGAAAACATATCTTACACCTACAATAACGTTATATACTCAATGATATAATAACTCTCTTATGGTTAATGTCTTTGGAATGAAGTAATTATTAAAGTAGTAAATCTGCTCTACAGATATCTTCCATATTACTCCAGCTATATAATAATATATTACAATTCATTTACAGTAGAGTCCCGCAAACTCGGCATAATGTGGACTGAAAGGGTGCCGAGTTTGTGAAATGCCGGGTTATCGGGAACTAGGGTTAAAATAAGAAAAAATTGTGTAAGCTCTTTAACCGCCTTTTATATTTATATTTATATTACAAGTCAGTATTAAGTCATCAGATATGCCTACAACAAATCCTTGGTACGAGTTGCGAATGATTTGACTTGAGCTGGCTTGAGTCTATGTTTAACTCGGAATCAAAAAATCCCTAATTTTCTGAGCCAGGTGATGGCCGCATTATCCAGACTGTCGGGTTATCGAGTGCCGAGTTTGCGGGACTTCACTGTAATATTACACCCAAATAATGATTGTATGAAACAAACTATAAGTACATTAGCCTATACGTTTTCGTTACAATTTTGCATCGAAAAGTTAAGATTTAAATTTTGAGACTTGTGCATAAAATTACATCTTTACTTTATATCTGAAAAAGTCTCAAATTTCTGGCAAAATGTTTTCTTGTGTTTTGCACAGATAACTCAAACAGCCAACCCTACTGTTAGTTGGTTATGTCCAAACGTGGAAAGCATGAGATGTTGCTAGTTCACACCTCCTGTTTTTACATGTCGCATACAAGATTCCTACTAAATGTTGGATTAAAATTAAAACTAATAAGTTCCCTGGAAAATATACTAAAATAGTTCTTTGACCTGAATACGTAGAGCTGTAAACTTCTTTAAAACTTAAAAATAAATAACTCATTAAATACTATTTTAAAAACACATTGAACAAGACAGTGTTTAAAACACAACATGTGTGCAGCAGAAACACAATTGATGCAAACAAACCTTCAGTGTGAGTTAATCAAATGAAACAAAAGCAATTATTCTTGTATTAAGAACATCTTCTAGAATTTGAAAGTGTTTAGGTAAGCAGTGGCAGACATTTTAAATATAGATACATTAAATAATGACTAACAAATGATTAATAAGCTGACCTCGCATACCATTATGTTTACTGTCTTAACATAACTTGCAGGAAAGGTTTATTTGCATGATCTGCACATTCAGGGTGATTGATATAAGTGTGCCAGTCGTTTTATTTGAAAGTTATAAGAGATAAAAAAAATAATTAAATTGTAACTGCCTTGGGTTTTTTATTTTTTAAATGTTGGTCAAGTTAAGCTATTAAATTTAAGAAGTTAGCTAAAAAATATTTAGCTGCCATTTTTTCAACATGGCCTTCAATTTTGATTTTTCTTATAAAAGACCCCATATTTTATGATTTTTTTTTAGAAAGTAAATGCCATTTAAAAACGTTTTTATTCTTGGCATTTGTTCTCTAAAGCTACTCATTTAGGAGTTACAGTGTGTTAAATAAAACTAAGAAAAATGACTTGCGGTGTACAGTACATTCTGCACCATGTAGCTCCTATACGAGTAAGTTTAGAGAGAAAATGCTAAAAGTAAATAAGTCTTAAAATTGCAAATGACATTTACTTCATAAAAAAAATCAGAAAATATAGGTCTTTCATAAGACAAATCAAAGTCATCGGACATATTGGAAAAATGGCAGCTAAAATTATTTTTTTCAACTTGACCAAATAAAAAAATAAAAAATCCAAGGCAGTTACATTTTAACATTTTTTGATATCCTACTTCCTACTAATATTATAAATGAGAAAGTTTGGATGTATGGATGTATGGATGTATGGATGTATGTTTGTGACAAGTGAACGCGAAAAATACTGGACGGATTGGGCTGAAATTTGGCATGATGATAGCTCACATTCCCGATTAACATATAGGCATATTCTTATTTCAAAAATCCTTTCGGGCTTCGCCCCAGTGGCTCAGGAGTTTCCCATGTTAACCTTATGATAAATGGAATTATTGAATCTTAACAGCTGTTTCAATTAAACAAGTTGGTTCTGTTCTATGATGTTCAATAGCATTAAAGTTACAAGGATTACCAACAGGGTGCAGCACTATTATTAAATTTCTTTTACATTTATGACAACAGCTAATTTGCAACCAAAAGGTGAGTGAGCGTAGCGAACGAGCTCCAACCTAAAGGTGAGTGAGCGTAGCGAACAAACTTCAACCAGGACGTGATTGAGCCATGCGAACGAGATAATCCGCGGGTTACAGCTAGTCTTATATAACTTTAGAATAAAACAGCTGGCACACTTATATCAATCACCCTGTGTATTAAAAATTATACTAACAATAAATACCATTATTAACGACAAAACTATTTCAATTGATTGCACTTAACTCCTCAGTATTATTGTCATAAGTAAATTTAAAACAATATTTCACTGGATGGAATGTTTGAAAACCAAATTCAAGGAGAGAAACCTCTATTAAAAAAATATTTATAATACTAACAATTCAAAATATTTCCCTTGCATTAAGTACAACTTTTCATCCCAAAAGTATACAAGATTTATATATCAACCTTTTGTACACAATCAAAGTTAAGTACAAGTATAATTATAGACATTTTTAGCACAAAAGCGAAACAATAAACGAAATTTAATACTTTCTCTATACAATACCGTAAGCAATGACATATAAATGAGAAATAAATTGTAATATTTGACTTTGGTAAGGTTAGCAGTTTCTGTCCTGAGCGTCTGTCTTCTTGTCGATGGCATCTGGGTCGGAGAGTGGGTCCAACTCAGCAAACAAATCCAGCCAAGGTTTGTTGGGGACCTGCAAATATCTTGTGTAAATAATTGAACTAAATGAGTAGCCTATCAAAGTAAAGAGTTTTGGTAAAAATTTATTTGGGTGTGAAACAAGCAGAGAATAAAGTTCAAGGACAACTCCATGTTTTCCACATTCAAAATGTCCAGGCCAACACTTCCTTTTCAAAAAGGAAACTGGCTTATTAGTGGTTTGAAAAGTGAACAAATAACTTTAATTACAAGGACTTTTGTAAATTAAGGTCTCCATTGAGCTCCCATCGTGGTCACGCAGGCTGGTTAAAATCTGAGACCGGTGGGTGATCTTTACTTCAACCACTACAGTTCTAGCTGGATTCCATTAGTCTCTTCATAGTTGTGATTAACAATGTAAAGTAAAATCTACTATTACAAATTTCCTGGACCCATATAAAACCACACACATAGTTCAAGGTCTCGGGAAAATTTAAGTGCGATTTGTGGCTTTTCGATTTCTGGACATTTGGTAGGTACTTAAAATCTTGCACACAGACTAGAAATGCTTAGATGTCAAAGCTCAACTGAACTTGTAACTTTAAGCTAGGGTTTGCAAGATCACGCCAGCGTGATCTGTCTGGCGTGATGTCCGTTGGCGCTAATTTTTGTCTGGCGGATGTCCGATCAAGCTCGGCGTGAGAGTGATTTGCAACCATGGCTTCAATTTAAACTTGATTACGTAAATCACGCTTGTCCATTCACGCTGTCTGCCCGGCGTGATCTTGGAAACTCTAGCTTAAGAATGCAGAATTGTTACACAAATTAATAGTCGCAAGACTAACTGCACAGCTGTAAAAGCAGCTGGTATAATATACAGTTGAACTACGACTGTTTACATTCCTTCTCTCCATTGTGAATACTGAAGAATGCAGAAAGATTGACTCCATCCCATTTTATAATGGCTCTGGTATCATGAATCAATACAATTTTATCACATAGATCACAACCTGTACCACAGAAAACATACTACTATAACCCAGAATGCCAACCGCATGGTAAAAAGCATTAGGTGTTTTGAGAGAGCTTTGCCTATCAATCCGTAGGCAGCGAGCGCATAGCAACCTACGAATTGACAGGCAAAGCTCTCTTAAAACACTTGCTTTTTACCATGCGGTTGGCATTCTGGGTTATAGTAGTATGTTGTAGTATGTTGCTGTGCCTGTACACAAATAATTGAGAATAATCTCATCATCCCTTGAAAGTGGATAGCATAATATCAACCCAAATTTAGTTTCCATTGTAGAACAAGCTTCTATAAGGATGATAAATGTATAGTATGGTAAATCTAAGATGAGACTGGTTACAAAATCTTTCTCAGAGATTGGGTAGGAATTAGGACTGTAATCAGTCTAAGCTTCAAGTCTAAGCATACTATGACTATGACTAAGTCAATGTCAAGTTTGGGAGTAAAATAAAGAGCATGTTATTTCACAGCTTCAAGTACAGTAGTTGCTTACTCAATTTTATTGTCGATAGTTTGATTGATCTAAGTCTTCTTAAACAGGCTTTTGTTTTAAAATAGGAATATAATGCATGCTTACTGTAGCGTATCTGTAGTCAGAGGTTAAAGATTCTTTACAAATACTTTCATATGAGATAAATGTGTGATTACATTTCAAAAATCTTCCTGTGATCTTGAATCTGACTACTGAACTATCAAAAAGCAAAGATCTTATATGATATTTACTTCAGTGTATATATAGTAAAGGTTTTACTATGTCTAGAAAATAGATATTATTGCATATCATTATTAGCTTACTTGATCCAGACTCCTGATAGGCATCTTAGGTTGGTTATTGTTAGACAAACTTGACATGAGAAGAGGCTGGTTTGATGGAGCTGTAAAAACAACAATCTTGTAAGTAGCCCTAACAAAATAAATACATTATTATTTAAGTTAAAACCTTATATTTAATCAAACAAGCTTTACTGCGGCTTCACCATTAATGGGTTGGCGTTGATATGTTTTAGGATAGCCTAAACTTATTTACCAACAAAACTGCCTCTATTATTCTTTTAATATAATACACATTTTAAAATAATTTAGTAATTTCAGTATCCTACATCAATGGAGCTGACAACTCTTCCAAAAACGAGTGGTGTAAAAGGATGGTTTGTTATTTTTGATCCACAAGAAACAGTTTTTAAATTTTCAGAGTTCATTCCCTTCAGCTGGAGATAGATGTACATATGCAGAAAAGATAATCGTCATGATATGCTTCAAAGACAGTGGCGGTTCCAAGGGGGGGGGGGCTATAGGGGCTAAATCCTATAGCCCCTATAGGAGGTTTTTGGACACAGTTCTAGACATTAAAAAGGCTTTAAAAAGTCCCCAAACGGCTTTAGCTAATGTTCCAGGGGAGGACATTCAGACCCTCTCCAGGTATGTTGGTGTGTAAACACCCCTGTTAGCCATACCCCCTTTACAAGGTCCTACAATCACCACTGCTTAAAGCACACAAGATGTGACCACCACACAAAGCTAACAACAATAAACAAACTTTGATCAATTATTTCCAGTATTTGTCTTTGTTGTATTGTAGGTTTTATTGAATACTTATTGAAAAAATACAAATGGATACTTGAGGATATCACAAAATGTGTTGTTGAAGTCATCTGAAGGAAACTGTTTGATGGATACAATTTTATTTACATCCAAAGGCATTATGGTGCTGTAATATCTCCAGTACATAAGAGCTTCCACAAATTTTTAGCGTATTAAGTCTACATTAAAAGTGTTTTCATCACAGTTTTTGTCATTGACTTACCCTTTTTAGTTTTTACTAACATTCTGGTTCTCTCAACTGATGAATAACCATCTCGTTATTAGCAAACTCACTTCTCACAGCTATGGGTGGTGCGAGAGAGTTACAAATATAGTGCATAGCTGAACCAGCAATATGTTATGGTTTTGAAGTGGCTTTAAAAATCTTAATTGGCTAACACTGGGGCCAGCTCAACAATTGACAGGCCAAGAAAAACGTGCTGGAGCCTACCAGTTGACCCCACAGGTTTAACAACCTTCCTGGTCTTTACCATTTATGATATAAACAGCTTGTGCTTGTGCAAGTGACCCAAAGCTAGACAGGCTTTTTTTGTGACTAGAAAATTCCTGTGACATTAACAAAAAAAAACTACATGTCATTTAGCCATGGTGGCATAGGTCGGCAAAAACACTTTTAGAGTACAAGGCTTTACAGTCAACGTTATCTAGCTGTTACCTGGGGGAGGAAACTGAGATGAAAATGAAGATTCAGTCGACAGTTGGGCTAACAGTTGACTCGGCAAAAGCTGGTTGTCAGGGAGAGCGTCTGTTAGAAGATCCGCCAAGAGCACTCCCTCTCCATTTTCACTTGATTCTGATTTTCTTACTTCTTTACTTCCTTCGACTTCTTCTACTTTCCTCACCACTGTGTCCGCCTCAGACTCGTCTAACGATAGTAATCTACAAAATACCAATGTTGTACACAATTTGTATTTATCTAATCTGAAATTCAATTTAAAGGATATACCACCACTTTATTATTTCCTAGACTTTTACCATTTGTAGTTAATAGCTATCATAATTAAGTCTTTTCTTTTTTTACATTGGCATTATAAGGTAATGTCTATTTTTAGCATTTATCACTCTTTATTGTCCCAAACAAATCCTTACCTTCGGTCCATCAGTTAACTAAATCTATGTTCACATCTATAGGCCAGCAGTTACCATACATTAAAAAAATATGTTACAAGCCACTGTAATTTAGTTATAAACTTTTATATTTGATTTGAGTGAGATTATAAGTAACTTAAGAACAAACATGTGATTGGAGACATTTCAGGAGAACCTAAACAGTTCCGATTTCATCACTAGATGACATAAAAATAAATGGTACATAACCATTATCAAATCCATAATATTGCTACCTTAATTATCAATTTAAAACCACACAGCTTTATATTTGTGATTTATTTCAACAAACACACTGTCAACAGTAATTACTAACTGTTATGAAGAAAGTAACAAGTAAAGCATAATACATACGTGTCGTCATTTTCATCTGTCTCTATCTTTGCTGGTTTCTCTTCCTCTACTAGTTCTTTAACGTCTGAAAATTTGTACTGTGGATGACCTGAAAAAGATTAATACAATTAGCGTATTTGTCAAAGGTGTTGATAATGGCAAATGAAGTCAAAATAACAACAGCTACTACAAATCATTGGCAGGGAAAATCGTTCAATAAAAGTGTAGGGAACAAGGAACTACCCCTAATATTTACAAATACTAATGCTAAACCGGTTTAGACCCATGCCCTTTTGTAGTGCATATAATATCTATATATTTAAAAATAGGCCTATTTTTTCTTTTCTGAGTCGGTTTACCTCTTCAATCCAACCGATTTTCTTAATTTTGGCCTTAAATTAAAGGTACCGTATGCTGCACACACAGATTTGCCATCAAGCATCGGCATTCATCTATCTGATGTATATTTTGAGTAATGCACAAAAGCAACTTCCTCCCTGTACATTTTTTATGGGAGTTAAATTTGGGTTTTTCTTTTCCCAGTTTGTTTGGCTCTTCTACTCAACCAATTTTCATAACTTTAGTCTTAAATTAAACGTATCCATCCACAGATTTGCCATCATAATCATCATTCATTTATCTACTGTATTACTCAACCAAATACTCTAAAAAATAAAGGCTTTTATTTGAGATATTAATAATTTGAATCAGTTAAGTCAAAGATAATTTATTACTCAATAAAAAATCATATTTCAACAATGTGGAGCAGCACAGAGTCCTCTAGTGATTATTGAATTTGTGTAGAGAACGTGTAATAAAATTAAAATTGTAATTAATATCAATGTTAGTCCCTGTAGATAAACTAAACTCAACACACAATTACTATAAAATTTTCAACCCTTTATGCCCTGGCTGATAAATCAGCCATCATGAGTAATATATCAAAACTTCAATTACAACTATTTAAGAGAGCATAACCCTAAAACAGATGAAAATTGTATCTGACATGTCCTCCAACCTGGCAGGATAGCATGGAACTGCTAAGTTAAAGTGTTGGGCTTACCAGTAGGCATTTCAAGTGCACTACAGTAGCTTTTAGGTCAAGAAAAACCTTAAACCATACACCAACATCATGTTTGCTGTTTTTGTCTGTGTTTGATGTTAGCTGTAGTTTTGTTCATTAGGTAAGGGACAAACTAATCATAGGTTTAATTGAATCAATAAACTACAGAGACTTGACTCACTAGGGAATGTAGTACTGATATTGTTAAACATTGTCACACATTTGGTAGCAAAGGTCTTGAGAGTGTTCTCGTACTGGATGAGTTCTCGTGAGAACATGTTACATCTCGCTGCTGCCAGTAGGTCTACCTGTAACATCAACATTATTATGTGGAGGGAAATTCCTTAACTGATAAATTAATAGATCCCAACAGCTTGAGATGGGCTATGAACCAGGTCACATCTTCACTTAGGCCTAGCTGAAAGCCTTTGATGGCAACAATTTATCCCAGGCCTACACTATAACTATAGTTCGGCCGCTTAGAAAACGACCTGCGCGCTAATGCTAAACCAATGCTGGAGGAGGTCGCTTTCTAAGCGGCTGAACTATAGTAGTCCAGTTCAGGTTAACCATGAAATTGAGCATTAAAACCAAAATTGTGTACAATAAAGCACAGTGTCAGTAAAGGCAAACACGTCACCTAATTCCACACTTTAAAAATTTAATTAATATTTTAATACTTTACTTTGAAATGGCGACCATACGAATGTAGGTATTTTAAGCCAAGTATGAATGGAGATGAGTGTAGAATGAGTGGCGCGATCTTGTAGTCTTATTAGTGACTTCAAATCATTTTATTGATAAAAGCCGGGTTTTCCTAGGCGTGGAAGTGGAGAGCGGAGAGAGGAACGCGGAGAGCGGACTCAACTTGTCTTAGGTAATTTAATGTTACTGTTTTCATATAAAGGGGGGCTTAGCCCCCCCCCCCCTTTAGCCGCCACTGGTAGTACAAGAAGTATATCTTGATTACGCTCAATTTAAAGCAATACACATTAGTTAGTTGATTTTCAATATTTAGGCTACATATTGTCATTTTACTAACCAAATTTGTAGAGTTTAAAATAAAATACCTTTTGTAAGCAGTCAAGTTTTTGTCGCTCAAACTCTGCTCGACTTTGTTTCACATGATCTTGAACCTGGGTAACATAACATATTATTTTGTTAACATCATAAAAGCTAAATAAAATTACATAAATCAGTAGGCTACATAAAGTTATATTGTCTGTTTACCTGTCTAAAAACTCTGAAATGAAGTGCAATGCAAAGCTGACGCTCTCCTGTTGGTTGGAACTGAATACATCTGTGGTAAAAGCAATGGTCAATATTTGCAACCCAGTTTTGTCTCAACATTTTGGAACCAAAAGATTATGCTACTCACAACAGTCCAGAGGTTGGTCTCATTCAATGTGTATAGATCATAAAGTAATCTCTGCATAAGAGAAGTCAAAATTAAATGCAGGAACTAAAACTTTCATTTTTAGATTCAACCGGTTCAATTTCCGGAAAAAAAGAAGAAAAAAAAGAAAAAAACTGATGAGTTTTTCACCTTCCTGTGCTTGTCCATGAGACTGAGGTTTTCGGGATCAAGTTGTTTGGAGACATCCTTCATCCAGTTAAGGACAGCTCGGTACTTGGTCCTTGTCTTCTCCATCTCCTGGATTGTATGGAACGTGTCTGCAATGGCATGGGCTTGGAACGACTCCACTTTCTACATGAAAAAAATACTTTGGTTATACTACCGTAAGCAAAAGCAAAAATATTTATAAAATTGAATTAGTTAAATGAGTACACACCTATAACACTTACTTAAATGAATGAATATATGGATATAGTTGCAGCTGACGAATTCCAGACCAGACACTACTCTCTTTTTTATGGCTACAACAATTTTACAACTTAATGAGCACACTTGATAATAATTTTTATACTTTACTGTAGTTTTTTTAATTTTAATTTTAGGAAAGACGTTATATTTTAGAATCCCAATCTTTGATGCGAGAAAAGTAGGTTACTTAGAAAGGTTTAGCCTACACCTCTTGCTTTTTTTTAACTATTTGTGCATCTCAAATCTTCAGAAAATAACACAGGCATAAATAATAGCAAAAACTAAATCTCGACCTACACACAAAAATATTTATTACACCAAATTACCTTTTGCAAAGCTCTCAGAGGGTCCTGGAAGGCAAGTCGTTGTTGTCCGGTTGTTGAGAGGGTTTTCCCAACAACAGCCATCATTTTTCCAGCTTCTGTTTTGTCATCAAGTTTTGCTGATTCTTTTAAAAACCGACCCATCGAGTTTTCTTCATAGGCTAAGGCTGAAAAAATACAATATGTGAAGTTCACAAATTACATGGGGTATGTACCTTCAAACCTGCACACTAAGAAAATTCCCATTTACTTAAGTATCAGGACTAAAATATTCCCTTAAATTTTAAGATTTATTTTCTATTTAAAGTAGAGGACCCATGCTTCTCCGCAGCGGTAAAATACAGTAAATATAATATCCGAGAAATATTCAAATTTATGTTTTTTCTTGAGCAATACAGTATCTTGAGCCATAGATAAAACATACTCCCTTAGTAGATTTCTCATCCTTATGGAACAGCTGAAGACAATTTTATTGTTAGTTCTGTACGATTTATGTAGAGGTCGTGTTTTGTTTACAATTTGTTTCCCGTTATTACAGCCATTCAAAACCTCGTTTAACCAAATAATACGATCTAATCATAAACAATAACTTGTCCCCTAGTTATATAACCAAACAGTAAAGCACAAATCAAGAAATTAATCCTAAAATAATAGAAACAAAGTTTCATCGACACTAGCGCCCAGTGTCACGTACATGAACTAGACAAGAAAAACGTGCTTCAAAATTTACAATGGGATGAGAAGTCTACTTGTGTTGGTTAGTCTATGGTTAGTCTATGGTTGGTCTAGCTTAACTGATTCAAACTATAAATAGCTCAATTTAAAGCCAATTATTTACTAATTATTTTGAGTCTAAAACATATGGAAAAACATTAAAAATAGGCTACTGGAGCTATTGATTTTTATCATAGAAAACCCTTATGAAAAATAATTTTTATGTTGGTTGTTCACCTTGCGTTTGCTTGAAAATCGTCCAATTTGAATAACTAATAGCTTAAACGAAATCCGGTATTTCACTGAAGTTTCTTAGACTAAAATAATATAGGATTATATAATTATAACTGGTGAAATACATATTAAGTTGAAGTAATAATTGTGCGTTATAAATAAATCAAATTATGTGATATGGTCGAGTAATACAGTAGGTGAATATTTGCCAATACTTGATATGAAAACTTGGCGTGCATGCCTTCAATTTGAGACCTTAATGACCAATGTTTTTAATGGGGTAAAAGAGCCAAACAAACTCGAAAAACAGAAACCAAATTTAACTCCCATAAGAAATACATGGGGAGCAAATTTCGTTTACGTATACACCGAGTGGGATTATAGTTATATATATGCCGATACTTGATGGCAAATCTGTGCGTGCATAGCTTCAATTTGAGACCTCAATCATGAAAATCAGTCGGGTAGAAGAGCCAAATGAACTCGGCAAAGAGAAACCAAATTTGTTTAATATATAAGATAACATTAATTCTGATATCCACATAACAGGAAACATCAGGCTTGTTGTCATTTGGGTTATGTCAACTGCCCTCACCACCCTTGTGTAAACACTGAAATACATTCTTACTTATTTCTGTAACTTTAAGCTTTTTATAGATTGGTATTTTGACTTTGGTAAAGTTAATTAGTATGGCAGAAAAAAATTAAAGTACAGTACATGAGCATTTTCAGGACAGCTTGAGTTGCTGTCCATTTTAGATAGGTTCATGTTGACAGCCACTGAACCGCTTTTTTTCAATAAGTGGATGAATGGTTTAAATCAACACACAACAATTTAAACCATTCATTCACTTTTTAAATAGGTGGCTATGGAAGTTCCATTCTGTACTGTGAACATGCAATGGTGCAGTGTAGACTACTAACATTCAAATAAAGTCCTTAGAACAATATTTTGCCTAGTGAACAAAATCTATTGTAACTAGTTCACAGTGTTGGGGAAGCTACTTTTAAAATGTAGCTAGCTACAACTACTGCTACATTTCCTAAAAAGTAGCTTAGCTACAGCTACAGCTACAGTTCCGAAAAAGTAGCTAGCTACAACTACAGCTACAATGAAATGTAGCTACAGCTACAATTTTAGCTACTTTTCCAAAGACGTTACTTTTTATTCCACGCACATTAGGTAAATGTAAAATTAATTTCAACTTCCCATTTTTATTGAACAAACATTTAAACAAAAAATGTCACATTAACTAACATTACTTGGAAAACAAATTATTCCTAGAGTGTATTTAATTTGTTGGCATTATAAACCGAACATTACAACAACAGAAACAAATAGTTGGGTGTACCATCATATTAAGTACCTACTTATTTTTAAATAACTTATTGCATTATTTTTAAGCAACTTATGTAAATTTCATTAAGTTCAAAGGACACACAACCAAACTATATTTTAAAAGCTCATTTTATTATTTCTTAAATATAGATTCATTTATAGATGTCTTATATCAACAATTAAGACCAATAAAACTGTAAAACGATCATTTAAAAATATTTTTTTGTTACAAAGCCTAGCCTACTGAAATTGGAGTTTATTGCCTTTCTTTTCTTTTAATGTTAAAAACGACATTGCTATAACTTTTAAACATAGTGATAAGTTACTTGTTCTATGAATAACACTTTTCAATGTCAAGAAATCGTCCTTTATTGTCATTATGCATAGGGCAAATTGTGCTTCAACCTAGTTGGTACAGAAAACAGTATTCAGCAACTCATACTGAAATCGGCTTTTAATTTAAACATGTTGAAATTTGTAAAGTAACAAATTTGAAAATAACATGTAGGCCCACTTGGCTATGTAACAAGTTGGCTATAGTAGGCTTGTTCTTGCAAGGACTAAACAGATATATTCATAATAATTGAACTTGGAACTTGGCATTCTTCTTAAACCATAGCATAGCCTAGGACTAGTCCTATACAAGAGCTGTTAGCAGGAGCAAACTATGCTAGTTTTTCAATGTAAGTTTCATGTTATATGGGGATTTTTTCGTTACAATTATCATGTAGTCTAGGCATATCTTAAATCTCAAGTAATTTCCTCTCTGTTAATTTAGTAAACCTTTGAACAATCTTCGTAATCTAACCAAGGAAGGGCTTGTGATGATGAACCAATATCAACAGCTGAAGCAAAGGTTGATAGACCAGCTTTCTCATTATTTTAAGGTTTAGTGTTGGTTTTTGGTTTCCATTAAAACCCAAGTTGAAACACTATCGATGTAATAAAGAAACTAAATTGACTAGGCCTACTAATTTCCCTGTCAATCACTTGCAAGCATTCAATAGATTCTCTTGTCACCGGTAACGTTTAAACGTCGTCTGCATCTAGTGATTTTATTTTATCTGACAGTAATCATAGAGTAGTAAATTAGGGAAATGAGAGCCAAAAATGTGGATAACACTCATTTAATGGCCTCCATGTCCACACAACGTTGTAATAGGGAATGAAACGGCTGCAACCAGCTGTATGAAGCCAAGAAAGTAGGCCTAATTTTTTTTTGAAAATCTCAGTTTGAAAGAGGTTGTTTCACGTAAGGTTGAGGTTATGATAAAAATCACTATCTCAAACAATGTTAATGTAGCGAGAAAAGTAGCTAAAATTCCGCTACAACTACTTTAAAAATGTAACTAGCTACAACTAAAGCTACAAAATCTTAAAAGTAGCGTAGCTACAGCTAACGCTACAAAAAAAGTAGCGCGCTACTGTAGCGTCGCTACTTGTAGCGCGCTACTTCCCAACACTGCTAGTTCAACAGATTTACTTACAGTTGCTCTTTTTCTGGTATTCATCCAGTATCTTGAGCAGCTGAGCACAGCTGAGTTGGATGCTGAGAAACAACTCCAGTTTGGCGTCCAGTTCAGCATCGCTGGCCACAATGCAGTCATCTTCCTTCTTGCCCAGCTTACGCGACACAGTCTGCTTCGTGACCCAGAAGTGATATTGCATCTTGCTTACAGTGGAGTTCTGTCTGTGAGAATGATGATCCGCCCATCTCCCCAAGGGATCTCCATGTGCCGCTGATCTGTAACACAGCATAAAAACTGTATTGTCTTTGATGAACACATAGGCCTAGTCAAAAAATGGTAGAGCGGAGTTGAAAGTGTTTATCTTTTAATCATGAAATTGCTCCAAGAGGGGAGTTGGCAAGATCTTAGCCTAGCCTTCGGCATAGATTAAAAGAAGTAGACATTAAAAGAAGAATAGCGTGAGTGAAGTGCTCGTGCACTGTATGTACGTTGCAGGTGCGAGGCGAGGGAATCTCTCCCAGCCGGCTGAGTTGGCCGGTCGACCGACTGAGTTGCACGACATGGCAACCGCGCTTAGTCGGTTTCGAGACTAGCGCCGCCTAGGATCTAGTCGGTTTTTCGGCCAAAAATTGTTAACACATATTAGCATTGCGTGGGGTATCTGTGTCTATACTCCTTTTATCTATGCCTTGTGGTTAGCCTCTTGGACAGAGAGGGTACGAGAGGGACAGGTTTGATTCCCATAGCATCAACAAAGTTTTAGGCCGGTGCCACACTATCCCGTTTAGCAGGATACATTTTTACCGCATTGCCATTGCCATGACACACCTTCCTGCTCTACCGCAACATACTTCGAGTGAAGAGGGCGAGCATCTCATGCACTGTTTATAGCCACAACAGTAGGGACAAACGCGCCGAAAAACGGGATGGTGTGACTGCTCTCATGTGACTGCTCTCATTTAACTGCATGTTTCGCCGTTTTTCCCGTCGTCCGGTCATCCCATAACACTGCAGCAGCATGCGGTGGATCCCGTCGAAGCACCGCAACCGCAAAAATGTGACCGCACCCATTAAAACCCATGAATTTGAATCATACCACCTGCCAAACGTGTCCCGTTAGACCGGACCGGCAAAACAGGATAGTGTGGCACCGGCCTTAGGGGTTTGGTCTGTTTTCCATTATCTTAATAATAGTGTTTGTGATTTTTTCATACAAAATGGCTTGGTGTAGACTCTAACAAAAAAGAGGGTTTGCTAACTAGAGAACTTGTTGGAAACCCCTAAATATTCAAATATTAAATCCAATGTATCAGGAAGAGTGTGAGTTGTAAACCTGTAAAAATTGAGTAGAGATGTGAAGAATTAAAATAGGTAGGTACCTAGTAGTAACCATTTATTTTACAAAAAAGAAGAAGTAATTGAGACAAGGATACTGAATGGAAATGTATGCTATTAAATAGGGGTTGGCCAAGGGGTGGAGATGGAGATGGATATGAGGAAGATTGGAGTAGATGGAGAAATTATAGTAGGGAAAATGCAAGAAGGGCCTACACCAAGCATATGAATAGTACCTATGTAGAATAAGTAGGCTATTAAGTTTAGTTTGTGAGCAAATCATAAAAATTATCTTTTTTTACTCAAAATATATGGATAATAAGAAGAATGTATTTAATTTTGATCTAGACATAAAACCCAGGTGAAAAACATCTGTTGGAAAATATGACCTTGACGACATATTGTGTTAACAGTTAACAGATGTTTTAACTTGCTTTTCACTTACACACAAGATACAACGCTGAAATACAAGCAGCACTGACTAAGTTAATCTTCGAAGAAAGTGCTTTACAAATAAAACACGTTTGATTGATATTGTGTTCAAATCATGGTAGTTGGGTGTTTACCACTGGGTCAGTAAGCATAAGCTTAGGCCTATTAATTTTTTGAATACAATCACTATTTTTATTTTTACATTTTATAAAATACTAGCAGAGTACCCGTCCTTCGTACGGGGTTGGCATATAAGTATCAAATGCTTATAGCAGTTATGAGTGAGGACATGGTTTAAGAAATTTCGGTTCTTTTTGAAGTTCGTTCGCTACGCTCACTCACCTTTAGGTTGGAGCTCGTTCGCTGCGCTCACTTTCCTTCAGGTTAGCTCGTTCGCTACGCTCACTCACCTTTTGGTTGCAAATTAGCTGTTGTCATAAATGTAAAAGAAATAATGCTAGTGCTGCACCCTGTTGGTAATCCTTGTAACTTTAATGCTATTGAAAATCATAGAACAGAACCAACTTGTTTAATTGAAACAGCTGTTAAGATTCATTAATTCCATTTCTCATAAGGTTAACATGGGAACCTTTGCTCCAGAGCCACTGGGGCGGAGCCCGGAAGGATTTTTGGGATAAAAATATGCCTATATGTTAATCGGGAATATGAGCTATCATCATGCCGAATTTCAGCCCGATCCGACCAGTAGTTTTCGCGTTTACTTTTCCCATACACACAGACACCACCTCTTTTTTATAATAGTACTAGCAGAGTACCCGTCCTTCGTACGGGGTTGGCATATAAGTATCAAATGCTTATAGCAGTTATGAGTGAGGACATGGTTTAAGAAATTTCGGTTCTTTTTGATGTTCGTTCGCTATGCTCACTCACCTTTAGGTTGGAGCTCGTTCGCTGCGCTCACTTTCCTTCAGGTTAGCTCGTTCGCTACGCTCACTTGCCTTCAGGTTAGCTCGTTCACTACGCTCACTCGCCTCCAGGTTGAAGTTCGTTCGCTACGCTCACTCACCTTTTGCTGTTGTCATAAATGTAAAAGAAATAATAGTGCTAGTGCTGCACCCTGTTGGTAATCCTTGTAACTTTAATGCTATTGAACATCACAGAACAGAACCAACTTGTTTAATTGAAACAGCTGTTGAGATTCAATAATTTCATTTCTCATAAGGTTAACATGGGAAACTCCAGAGTCACTGGGGCGGAGCCCGTAAGGATTTTTGGGATAAAAATATGCCTATATGTTAATCGGGAATGTGAGCTATCATCATGCCAAATTTCAGCCCGATCCGACCAGTAGTTTTCGCGTTTACTTTTCCCATACACACACACAGACACCACCTCTTTTTTATAATAGTATAGATAGATTTTTAAATTTATTTTTATAACCCTATTTTACTGTGATTAAGATTAATTATAAACGACTAGAAAAACTTGACTGTTTGTACAACTTATTAGTTTAATCTGAGTATATAAGTTACACATGTTAGTGTGACAGTTGAGACTAAGTAGCCTAGTATAACACCAGGCAATTTATTTGTCTATTGTCTATTGATTAGCCTCATTGACCCTATAATTCAATTTCAAATAGTTATATCATTTTCAACAGGGATCTCTCAGGTTTGCAATTTGGTAGACCAGTAGGCCTAGTTTACGTTAAAACATGTTTTTAAATACCACATTTGCTACAGAATTCATAGAATATTAGTAAGCTGTTTCCCAAAATAATGGGATTGGCATATTCGCTGATGTTTGGCCTTCTTATTCATGAGTGGTAATAGCTAATACGCTGGAAGGATGATAGCAAGAACATGATAACAAGACTGGGACAGTGGCGTCGTCCTGTAATCCAGCAACTTGCGAGGTCAAGAATTGTGGATATTTAAAAGCATGCACTGTGGATGCGATACTCCCTGGTGTGGATTAACATCCGCACGAGTGAGTAGTACGACTATCCGCAGTACTATCCTGATAATTAGACCAATTTGTATACTCCAAGGCAAAAGCGTGGTTCGGAATCCACTATAAAAACTGTAGGTCCCTTAGTTGCCATTACCTGTATGGGCTATTAATTAACAGCTGTGTCTAAGGAATATGCCGGCCTTAGTCACTAACAAGACTACAAGATCGTGCCACTCATCCTACACTTCATACTTGGCTTAAAATACCTACTTTGTATGGTCGCCATTACATTGAAAAGTATAAAGTATAAAATATTCTAATATATATGATCCTAGTACAAATATTAAGAAACTCTAATATGAAGCTCCAAAAGCTTTGTAACTTGTTTTACCATGGAAATAAAATAACATAGACCTAGTCTCTTCTTAGTTCTTAGAGTAAGGGAAGGGGCTAATGTACACAAAAGTAACGAACTTTTCATTAACAAAGAAAATACATGATTGGTTTTGCAATTGTTATAGTCGTAATGAATTAAACTGTAAGAAAGTCTAAGCTAAAATCACAAGGTCTTGCAACAATAATATTTAACTCTTTACCTCGATCGTGGACCGTTCATTCCTAGTTGAGGTATTTACTGTCGTCAGCTTCAATATCAAAACTATTCATTCAAACCAGATTGAACTTATTACACCCATTAAAATTATATCATGTTATTTCAATATAACAAATCGAAATATATTTCTGGACAGTAGTAAAAGGTTTAAAGATGAACTACTCAGAGCCTACAGCCAAATTAGGAAATTAAATTGACACCAGACAGACACCATGAATCTTGGTGCGATTTCGATTTGACACTTCACTTGACAGCTCCATTTTTGGCTCCGCGCATGCTCCAAAATTTTTGGCCTTACAGCCGTTTTATGTTGCAGACGAGAAGCAAAAATACAACATTACAGTACTTGTAAAATTAAGTAATTGATTATATAGGACATTATTTGAGTTTGACGTTGTTGATTTATACCGATTTTTTATTTGCAATCAAAAATATAAATTTAGCCATAAGTTAGAGTTATCTGATAAAAATCAGCTGGATTTAAGGATTTTAAGATATAAACTGAACAGCTCTTCGCCTAAAATTATTGCTACATTCTTATACAACACCATGATAAAGTCTTGCAAAACCATGTGTTAATATAAATTGTCCGAATTTGTTAGTATTGATTAATGGTTTTTAATAGCTACAAGCTAGTGTGTTGAGTGGTTTATTGTGGTTTATTGGAATCATGACTACTGTTAACGAATTAGACTACAAAGGTCAAACTGTTCCTGTCTATTGTTGTAGGGTATTGACGTTGAAAATAGAGTGTGAGTTGAAATTTAGCTGGTCATTTAAATGGTTTTTATTGTGGCTGTCTTGGAAGCTTTTGTAGATTTCAAACTGTTCTAAAGAATCCAATTCATTTCCTTTGTTAAAAATGCGAATCATTTCCAGGTTATTTGTCAATTGTATCTATGGTGTAATTTTTATCCAATAATTTAATGTTTAATGTTAAATTTAATGTTGGGCAAAGGTGGATTTTTGTGTGTCTGCTCTGGGGTAGGGGCGATGTTCTTTGTACCGTTGGGTAAAGGTCCTGTCTGTTTGTCCAATATTATAAAGATCCGGACAATCCATACATTTAAATTTATAGACTCCAGACTTGTTTTCAACAACATTTTTACATGTTAACGCTTTTTGTGTTTTATTGGTAGTTGGCTCTAAAGGTTAATTAAAGTCCATGTTTCTTGAGTCCATTTGAGTTTAGTGGCTGTATTCTGCCAAAGGTGGCCGTGATTCTGTACAGGACACACCGCTGCAGCTTCTGTTGGTAGCAAAAAGCCGTATGTTTACACCATGCAGCAACAGTGTCGGATTTTGGTTACTTGAGGCCCTAGGTCAAATTACTTGAGCGGCCCTCCTCCTGTGGTGGAAATTCCTTAATTGCGATCGCGGAAGTAATCGCAAATATCTCCTATGCATCAAGGGGACATTATTATCGACACCCGTGATCGTGGATGAAATCGTGAACATCCCTCCTAAACCAAGTCAAAGCCATCAGTAGGTATCCATGACCGCGGAAAAATCGTAAAAATCCCCCACGGGCTGCAACAAAGGGACATCATCCTACACACTCGCGACCGTGGCGAAATCATATTCCGTGAGCTGTGAACTTGATGACACCAACACCGTCCCCCGCGACCGCAGTAAAACCCCCCCGCGAATCAGCAATCACGGGGACATCATCATCGACACTCGTGATAGCGGCAAATTCTTGAACGTATCCCGCGGGCTTCGATCATGAGGATACATCACCGTCACCCGCAGCCACGGCTAAATCAAGAACATCTCCCACGGGCCGCAATCACGGGGACATCATCAATGTCAACTCGCAACAGCAGCTAATTCTTGAACGTCTCCCGCGGGCTTCCATCATGAGGACACATCACTGTCACCCGCGGCCGCGACTAAATCGTGAATGTCTTTCGCGGGCTACAATCACGGGGACATCATCACCGGCACCGGAAGGTATGGGGGTTTAGTGAGTGGGAGAAAATTTCGCGCCGTTCCGGCCAAACCTCGCATGCGGGGTTGGTTCGGCAGATTGGCCACAACCTAAACCCCAACTCTCACTTTTTTAGCTGCGGAGAGCTACCTGCTGCCACTGGATGTTGGTCCACCTACAGAACCAAGTGAGGGGGGCCCTAGACTAAGGTGTAATGCGATCCATGCCAAGAGGCTTGTGGCACTGGGGGACTAATATTAAGTGTCTTAACGGAGCCTTCTGGGAACCAGGGTAACCCAGTCGTACGCACCCCTTACCTCTCTAATCGGGTCACTTGGGAGGTGGACTTAGATACCCGGTTTTCGTGAGAACAATGTAGACAATCTGACCCAAATGGAGAAGGAAGGTCTACTGAAATCTGACAATGACGAAAAGCTCGCAGAAACCGGAAAGGAACGAAAAACGACTTTCCAAGGGCGAGTTGCAAAGATGGAGGATAGTGGATGCTTTAGCCAAAAGCGAAAAGGTGCTATCCAGAAGTGAAAGGAGGCTGGTGTGGGCTGCCAAGCACCCTAACTCTGCTCCCTGCAAAGCCAGTTCCTCCGGGAACTAGGATGCTGGGAAAAAGCAGGGCAAGGGTGGTACCCCCAAAGCTGACTCTAATGAAGCCTCCAGGAAGAAAGGTGGAGGCTGTGCTAACGCAGCCACAAAGGATTGGCTGGTCAAGCAAGTTCAGGAGCTGAGTCCTTTCAGGGAAATCTCGCTACGGCTTGACCCAGCCAGAGACCTTGTGAAAGCTGTGAAGGTATATTTATGTGCCCAGCCCTACAAGGTCTGCGTGAGGTCCCTTGGCCTATTGATGGGAGATCAAAGGGAAGAACAGGTTACCATAGTCAAAAGGCTCTCACAGTTCACCAGGGACCTGGGATTTGACGGAGAATGAGGACCTGTGAACGAGGGTGCACAATAAGCTGTTTTAGCTGCGATGCAATCCCATGGTGACTTGTAAGCCTGGCCCTCTGTAAAAGAAATCACCGGCACCCGCGGCCATGGCAAAATCATGAACATCTCCCGATAAGCAGACACAGCTCATAATATCTACCCTAAAATATAACAGCCGATTAAGTCAACTTCAGCGCACTCAAATTTCACCGATAAGCAACGCACATAAACCAAATCTTAAGCATTCAAAATATAAAGGATACTTTCAGTATTAAAAATCAAAGTCTTAGTTTTATATGGTTTTATCCGTGACTTTGAGTAAAGCATTTTTAATCCATGGCTACACGCAAGCTTTATTCTGAGGTCTGTCTCGAGCTTCATATCGTGGAAAAACTTTCGATACGTGTTTTCTCTTCACTGCCGCCAAGCCAAAGCCAAAGCCAATCTTGTAGTTGTCCTCTTTTCCGTCTTCCTTCATCTTTCCGTTTTCTGGGCCTCGCGTAACTCGTTCGCACGTGGTTTCTCTAAGCAATTGTCATGGATAAACCAGTGGTTTTGGCTCGCGTAATGAAAGTTTTGGGACGTACAGGTTCCCAGGGACAGTGTACGCAAGTAAAAGTCGAATTTATTGGAGAACAAAACCGACAGATTATTAGGAATGTCAAGGGTCCAGTCAGGGAGGGAGATATCCTAACCCTATTGGAATCTGAACGTGAAGCCAGAAGACTAAGATAATTTTTTATTTTGTAAGTACATTTTCTTGCATATGGCCTAATCTTTACTGTAATTTTACCCACTAGGGGTACAGTTTCTTAACTGGGCTATGCTAATATCGATTGAAACTATCGATTCGATTAGTAAACTTTCATGCCATTTTTTCACCATCAGCAAGTTTGGTTGGTTAGGTTAGGTTATGATAGTTAAATTTTACAGTAGGCCCTAGATATAGGGTACAGTTTCTTAACTGGGCTATGCTAATACCAATTGAAACTATCGAATTGAAAATATTGATTGACTATCGATATGGGAAAGTTTACAGTTTCTTAACTGGGCTATGCTAATATTGATTGAAACTATCGATTCGATTAGTAAACCTTCATGCGATTTTTACACCATCAGCAATTGGTTGGTTAGGTTAGGTTATGATAGTTTAATTTTATAATAGAAATATTTAAAAATAATAGTTATTAATCAATTTTTTCAATTCGATAGTTTCAATCGATATTAGCATAGCCCAGTTAAGAAACTGTAGGCCTACCCAATTTTAAGAAACTGTAGGCCTATCCAATTTTATAGTAGATATAGGCTATTGTTAATCAATATTGTAATATCGATTGTTAATCAATATTTTCAATTCTATAGTTTCAATTGGTTTTAGCAAAGCCCAGTTTTCAGAAACTGTAGGCCTACCCAAAAATGGTTCTCTTTAGGGATCTAACTTAACTTCTATTCAATCGCGAACTTGCTTAAACTTACTCCAGTAGGCCTACTGTGGGGTTTTACCTATCTTAAATTCAATGAAATTGTTTAGAATAACTATAACTTAATTACTGTAGTGTAGCATTGTGGAAGGAACCTAACCTCAAAATTGCTTGACACCTTTTTGTGGTAATTTTTTTATGTCACATCTAGGTTTTCCCCCCTGCTTTATTCCATTTGGTAATCGCAGAGGATACGCGTCCGGTAACCAGACGTGGATTAGGCGTCCGGCAGTTACTGTCATAACCTAACCTAACCAACCAAACTTGCTGATAATGAAAAGAATCAAATGAAGGTTCAATTCTCTTCATAACATAAAATTATAAATGCCAAAAATTCTAACAAAAGACGTACAGTTAAGAAGAAATTACATTCAAAGCAAAATCTGTGACAAAAAGTTAAAGATACCGATGGGTTTCGAACCAGGGACCTCTTGGATACCAGCCGAGCACTCTATCCACTACACCACGAACAACACTGGCCGAACATCGTATCGTTGTGGTAATGGCGTTCTGGGACCCTACAAACCCGGTGACGTCACTACCGGACGCCTAATCCTTCTGGTTACCGGACGCGTATCCTCTGTGTTTGGTAATACTGAGACTTGCTAACTTAGCAGCAGTCTTGGGAAGTAGCGTGTTACATGTAGAGACGCTACAGTAGAGCATTACTTTTTTAGTAATTACTTTGATCACGGACGTTTTGCCAAAATTATATTTTTTTCACTACTACCCTACCGATTCCTATGCTAAATAACGTCCTGAATTCAAAAATGATTGTCATTTTCCCCGCGGAAAAACAACATTTTTGTGGAATTGAGTCATGAGGGTACTCAAATTAACCGTTAGGGTGAGCTGAACAAGATTATTTTCAAGATCCGATG